CCAAGAATTCTCTCCAGAACAAGTCCACCTTGCAGCAGTGTGGTGGCTTCGCTGTACCAGTCTTGAGGAGGGCCGGTGCCCAGCATCCATCCTGGGTGAGGGAATCTTCATTCTTGGCCGTGGAGGCCTCATGGAGCTGCAGTGGCTGTGCGGAGTGGCACAGGCTCTATGGGGGTGGGAGCCACGAGACTCACCCATTTCTCTTTGGGAATCCTTGAATTCCTGTTGTTGAGCCTCGATCTTCACTGAGGGCCAGTCATCAACTGTTTAAGTGTTCAATTTTCAATAAGCCGAAGTCTGTGGAAGGCCATAATGGCTTTAAGTGGTTTGCTGCTCCCGCAGCTCACCACGCTGTCTCTGCCTCCACCGCCATCTTGGATCTTGGTCTTCAGTTTTGTGAAGTCCCTTTGCTTTTTCTTTGTTCTCTGGCAGCAGGAGCTTTCTTTTTCTTCTCCATAGTTTCAGCTGGGATTTTTTTTTTTAAAGATTAAATCTTGACAAAGCAGTTTGGTAAAATGTTTATAGAATCATGGGTTAGGTAATAGGTAAACCTTTTCTGTTAAATCTTATTTTCTGCTACAGTTGGATTAAGTCACATATATTCCTTTCTGTCAATACTTCCTCTCATCTGTTCTACTGCACTTGTCATTATCTATCCATTATTTCCCTATAGTGTTCCCAGCTCCCCCATATCTGCCCTGTTTCACTTAGCATAATGTCCTTTAAGTTCCCTCATGTTGTGTAACGTTTTACAAGTTCATTGTTTTTCAGTGCAGCGTAATATTTAATTGTGTAAATGTACCATAGTTGTATACATAGATGCTTCCATCTCTTTGTTATTGTGAATAATGCAACATTAAACATGGGTGTGCATACATCTGTTTTAATCGTGGCTCTGCTTTCTTTAGGCTATTTCCAACTTCTTCAAAACGCACTAGACTGCCTTTCATAATGATTGTACCGTTCTACATTTCCTCTAGCAGTGAATGAGAATCCAATCTCTCTACAACCTCACCAGCATTTTGTTGTTTGCTGCCCTGTTGAACTTGTTGCCTTGTTGTTGCTGGAAGCACCTGAATTTTTTTTAACAGCAGTGTTTATAGGAGGTTTTTAACATGAGATCACTTGTTTCATCCATTATTTCATTGCATTGTTTTAATTAATATGCATTGTAAATGATTATGTGGAAGCATTGTTATCCATTGTAAAAACATATTATAAATTGTTAGTTTGAAATTGTATTTGAATACCCTAAGAAAATAACATTCTATGTATCTAATGTAGTAAGTAGTATAATATAGGTAAATAATTCTTTATGTTGGATTTTGACATTTCTTGATTTTTACTTTTTAACTAATTTTAAGAGAGTCCTTTAATCTCTGTGTTTAAGTTTCTTCATTTATAAAATGACTCACTTAATTTTTTTTTTAGTTCTACAATTTGGTGTTAAATGAAGCCTAGACTTAATTTGCTTATTTTGGATTACTATTTTTTAAAAAACTCAAAACAGCAGACCGTCCATTCAGCCTTACATTCTTTTTTATTGTAGACCATGGAAGGGAAATGGTTAGTCTGTATATTGCTGGTATTTGGAATTGCTGCCATTCAAGCTCATGATGGACATGATGATATTGACATTGAGGATGCCCTTGACGATGTCATTGAAGAGGTAGAAGACTCAACATCAAAATCAGATACCAGTACTTCTTCATCTCCAAAGGTTTGATGTAGTCATTGAGTCTATTCTTTTAGTCCTATTTTAAAAAGTAAGCTAAAATAACTTGGTTTTTTCCTGGCACCCAAAGATAATGTGTTTAATTCACTGGCCACTTATAAAAGTTTTCTTAACTGAAAGCAAACCAAGATTTGTTTAAAGTATCACTTTTTAAAAAAATTTTAATGATTTTAATGAAAGTTTACAGAAAATATAGGATTTTCATTCATTCATTGTTGCACATTTTCCTCCCTCCCATTTCCCTCCCCCAGTTCACTTTTTAAAAAATCATTCATTGTTGTACAATTTCCTCCCTTGCTCCATCCCTCCTCCAGTCCACTTTGCAGTGCACCTTATTCTGGTCTGTTTCCATACAAATAATGCCTAATTATATATCCCATTTAAACAGTCTTTCTTTCATCTTTCTAATGCAGTGTTTATTATTTTTCCCCTTTTCCTAGTTTCCCCCCAACGCCTCATGTCAGTCCTATTTATAACAGTGACTTTTATACAGTATTTGTACTTTGGTGACTGAGATCTTTCACTAAGCATAATGTCCTCCAGGGTCACTCATGCTGTCTAATGTTTTACAAGTTCCTTGTTTTTCAGTGCTGTGTAGTATTCTGTTGTGTGATTATACCATAGTTTTTTCCTATCCATCCATTAGGTTTGAGCCAGCAAGTCCTCTAGTAGGAATCTATCCTAAAGAAACTAGAGCGGCCACCCAAACAGATACAGGCACACCCATGTTTATTGCTACGTTATTCACAGTAGAAAATTTCAGTTCTTAACTTGCTTTTTACATTTAACACAGGTTACCTACAAAGCTCCAGTTCCAACAGGGGAAGTGTATTTTGCAGATTCCTTTGACAGAGGAACTCTTTCAGGGTAAGTGTTTATTAGGAAGGATGAACCTTAGAGGCAAATGGCAAGTTAATGAAATAATGGAGATTGGTCACCTCTTTTTTATTCAAAGTATACAGATAATAGAACATAGTTCACTTTTAGTTTTCACATATATACGTGCAATAGCAGTAATTCTATTTGTTATCTTGTTCTGCTATTAGCCATCAGCATTGGCCATTCCCAGATTTTTATGTCACTCTTAATAGATGTTCATGCCTTTTTTTTCTTTCTTACCCTTTGTTATTAGACTTTACACTGTCTTCATTGGTCAGTTTTATTTATTTGAATCTTCATGTTGGTTTTTTTCTGAATTACAGGTGGATTTTATCCAAAGCCAAGAAAGATGACACTGATGATGAAATTGCTAAATATGATGGTGAGAATTCTCTTTCATTCAGATAGAATAACAAGTTAAAATCTGACGGACTTAACTGTTTACGTGATATCTTTCAAGATTGTCTGAAAAGTTGTATATTTTAAAATTTTGCCATAGGAAATTTGTCATTATGTGCTATCTTAATATTTTATAGGATTAAAACCCACTGCCAAACAAATTAACCCACTGCTGTCAAGTTGGTTCTGACCTTACTTCTCGGTTCCATGGGTACAAAGCTTCAGGAGAGGAGACTGCTCATTTTTCTCTCTGAGTGGCTAGTGAATTCATGCTGCTAAGCTTTGAGCCAGTAGTCCAGTACATTAAGCACTATGCCACATGGGATTCCCCCCCCCCGTAAGGTTAGATATTTAATATTAATTTAATACCATAAAATTAAAGCTACTTATTGCTTGTGATGCTGTAAGTTGGAAATGGAACGTCTTCTCTGAGCAGTGGTAAAATGACTTCTGTAGTTATTACGGTTTTGTTGTTTTTTGTTCTTTTTTTAGAAAGCATGTCCTTATATTTGTCAGAGGGTCCTGCTGAGACCATAGTTAAGCCCTCAGCATGATCCAAAAAGTCAGTGACTCAAAACCACCAGTTCTGTGGGAGAATAGACCTGGCAGTGTGCCCCCATAAAGGTCGCAGCCTAGGAATTCCTATCAGGCAGTTTTCTTTTGCCTACAGAGTTGTTGTGAGTCAAAATTCACTTGACTTTACACAGCAATATATGTCAAATATAAGTATGTCTTAATATACTAACTCTGATAGATAACTAGAACATAATAAAATTTTGTCACTATGATAGTCTTGAACAATTTACACGGGAATGGTTTTGTTTTGAATTGTCTTGTAGGAAAGTGGGAGGTAGATGAGATGAAGGAAACAAAGCTTCCAGGTGATAAAGGACTTGTGTTAATGTCACGAGCCAAGCATCACGCCATCTCTGCTAAACTGAATAAGCCCTTCGTGTTTGATACCAAGCCTCTCATTGTTCAGTAAGTGAATGGCTGTTTGATATAAACTTTCTCAGAAGAGTAATCTCAGGAAACATTCTGTTGTAAAACTGCTTACTCTATGCAAGGGGAAAAAAATAATAATTTGGGGGTTTGTTGGTTCTGTTTTTTTGTTTTTGTTTCTTCTTGTTACATGCCTTCAAGTAGTATCTGACTGGCACAGGAGGAGATTTACCCTCCTCCAGTGGAACATCTGGTGGATTTGAACCACATACCTGAGGGATTGCAGCGCAGATTCTTGCCACTAGGCCACCAGAGTGCCCTTGAAATTACATAAATTTGAATAGAGGTTTGTAAGTAATGTTCTGCATCTCTGAATGGGATTTTATAGTGGTGGTGGTGATTTTTAAAAATATTGGCCCCCAAAATTTGAGACAATCTAGCTGTTCTTGCTCCTGACATAGAAATGGACTTTGCAGAAAGTATTTATTGGGAATTTTTCTATTAAGAGAACTTTTTTCTTTCCAACTGTGATTTTCATTCCTTCATTGTTACACATTTTCCTTGTTTTCCCTCCCCCAGTCTCCTTTGCAGTACACCTCTTGTTCCAGATTGTTGTCATACATATAATGCCTAATCATATGTTCCATTCAGAGAGAGAATCTTTGTAAAGGAGAGTCTAATAAAACATGACCTGAGATGAAAGGAAAATTTACTAAGAGGTTGGAGTTTTCAAAATGACATGAGGTTTTCTGCTTTTCTCTTTGAAACTAGGTATGAAGTTAATTTCCAAAATGGAATAGAATGTGGTGGTGCCTATGTGAAATTGCTTTCTAAAACTCCAGAACTCAACTTGGTATGTATGTATGTACTTACTATTTTTTATGTAGCCACCCACAATTATCTTTTAAGAATCTTAGAGAAAAGGAAAGAAAATGTTACAAGACCTATAAAAGAAATGCTTTCTTCTGTGCTGTTTAAATATTTTTGGAATGTTGGCGTATTGACTTTTATTTGAACTTCAATTGAGACCTGAGCTCCAGCTTACTAGCTACTTCTACTGTCTGATTTCCTCAAACTTAACTTGTAATAACATATTACCTTTTAATTTTTTAAGTACTTCTTAGATTCTCATTTAAAAATTTCTTGATGTGTTAATTGCTGGTGTCTATAAACCTCAGCATAAGGTTTTTCTTTAATTGCAACAATAATTTATGAAGATATATCACAAGCTTTATAAAACTTTTGAGTACACTGTATTAATTATCATAATCTATTTTTGTCTTTGAAGGATCAGTTTCATGACAAGACTCCATATACAATTATGTTTGGTCCAGATAAATGTGGAGAGGACTATAAATTGCACTTTATCTTCCGACACAAAAACCCAAAGACAGGTTCATATGAAGAAAAGCATGCTAAGAGACCAGATGCAGATCTGAAGAGCTATTTTACTGATAAGAAAACTCATCTTTATACATTAAGTAAGAAAAACCACTAGTGTAGAGATTTTATAGCAATATGCATTTCACATCTATTTAATTGAAATTATTGTATATCTGGAAAAGATTGTGTCCTGCAAATAAGAAAAGTGTTTTTGCTGACTTCAAATCTTACCTATTGCTTGAGCTGAAGGGATAGTTAAAATAATTTTGTGTGATAATTAGTCACTCATCATTTTGTGTCAGACTAATAGTTGCATTTTTTATGTTTTTAAGGTCTGTAAATGAAGTCTTGATCCATAAAATTTGATTTGCTGTATCTTTTAGGAGCTCTGGTGACTTGATTAGTAGGGAATCACCAGCTGCTCCTCTCCTGTAATTTTTTTTTAATTGGTTTTTTTTTATTGTATTATTTTTACGTGTACCGTCAAATCAGATCTGACTGGTACAGGAGAAGATTGCCCCCTCCTCCAGCAGAGCATCTGGTGGATTTGAACCGCGTACCTCTGGGATTGTAGTGCAGCGTCTTGCCACTAGGCCACCAGAGCTCCCTTCCTCTCCTGTAATTTGTAGCCTCTAAAATCCCACTGGAGGTTGAACTATGAGTCAACTTCAACTCAGCAATAAGAATTTTTTTATGTATTTTAGAAAGTAGAGGAAGCAGTAAATGGAAGTTAACTTGCCAAATGTTGTTGTTGTTGGTTTGTTATGTGCCGTCGAGTCGCCTGCGACTCATAGCAACCCTATGTACAACAGCCCTAAACTCCGCTCTGTCCTGTGCCAATCACACTGTCTCTGACACTCCCATCCCAATTATCCCAGTCACTGAATCAGTCCACCTCATAGAGGGCCTTCCTCTCCTGCGCCATCCCTCCACCCTCCCAAGCATGATGTCCCTCTCCAAGGACCGGTCTCTCCTCACTACATGTCCGAAGTAAGTTAGACGGAGCCTCAGAATCCTTGCCTCCAAGGAGCCACCCGGTTTAACCCTCTCCAGGACAAATCTATTTGTTTTCCTAGCAGTCCATGGTATTCTCAGTACTCTTCTCCAGCACCACAGCTCAAAGGCATCAGTTCTCCTTCTATCCTCCTTGGTCATTGTCCAACTCTCTGATGCATAACGTAAGCATGTGTAAAGTTATGTTCTGACTCTAGTCTTAATTGTGGCAGTGAGAGCTTGGAATAAGTGGTTAAGTAAACTTTTTATTTCATTTTCCTCCCCAGTCTTGAATCCAGATAATAACTTTGAGATACTGGTTGATCAGTCTGTTGTGAACAGTGGAAATCTGCTAAATGACATGACTCCACCTGTAAATCCATCACGTGACATTGAGGACCCAGAAGACCGGAAACCTGAGGACTGGGATGAAAGACCAAAAATAGCAGATCCAGATGCTGTTAAGCCAGATGACTGGTGAGTCTTCTTTAATGCTAGGTAACATGTTGTATGATGGCTTGAATAGCCAATTTTGGTAATAAATGATGTTTTCTGGTTATCTATAATATACTCCATAAATTACAGAAAAAAATTGTAGAAGACTATAGCTAGAAAGGAGTCACAGTGATTGTGTTGCATTTTGTTGTTTTATGCTTTTTGTTCTTTTGTGCTGTCAAATCTATCTCTTAACAACCTTGTGGCAGGGTAGACCTACTCCATAGGTTTTTCTAGGCTTTACTCTTTACTGAAGCATATCATATATTTTGTTTTTTGATTGTTAGATTTGAACCACTGATCTCTGTTAGTAGCCAATTACTTAACTGTTGAACCACTAGAACATCTTTTCACCTTTTAAATAAACATTGAAATGCTTAAATTTCATTTTAATTGAAAGAAATAACTTCCTCTTGGTTGTTTAACGGTACTCAGAAATATCTGCTTGATTTTGGACTGTGACATAGAGTAAACTACAAAGAGCTCCCAGTCTAGTTAGGAGACCGTTAGGTCAACAAATGGCAAAAGCATTAGGTTTTACTTGGTGATTAAAACACTGAGTATACCTAATCAGGAATTTTTTTTTTGCAGTAGGTTTAAATCAGACTGTGGCTTTTAGGTAGGATGAGAGTTAAACTACTAAAAGTTGAGAAATGGTATTCTTGATTAAAGAACTTCTGTGTTGAAGTAGAGGAGCAGGAGTGAAGTTGGCCTGTATGGAGGATTTCACTATATATTCCCTTTGGTGTAGGGTACATACACATTGGAAAATCATGAAAAATTAAATCTAGAAGGATCATACTCTTGTATTTGGACACATGTAATAGTATATTTTCAGAAATGTCTGCAACTACATAAGGAGAAAAAGTTGATCTTCCATTTGTAAAAGTATATGAAAACTTAGTAATTAAATTCTAGTTAATGTTTTTTCCTACTTAGACATGAAACTGCAAGTAGTTTATATTGCAGTAGTGGAAATGCCACTTTTATTTGTGTATTTGGTGAACTTTAGAGTTGAAGATTCATCCTTTTGCAGTGTTACATATATATCGATATATCCTTAAGTAGCTGGAGGCTTTTCATCAAGGATAAAGGGTAATTATTATACAAATTTTTTTTAAGTCAAATTTAAAACTAGCATGGTTCTGACCAAGATAGAAGGTTACTTTGCTTACCAGTTTGAGTGTCTTATGTCTAATTTCAAACTTAGGCATATATTTGTGAAGTTTTAAAGAAAAATTCTTCTTATAAAGATTTACATGCATAAAACTTACTCTCTCCCAGTGGTTTCTCATTTGTTCAATGTTCTATAACTTTTCATCACCCCAAAATTGTATTATTTTGCTTATTAGCATTCATTTGCCATTCCTTCCCTGAGCTGCTGGAAACCACTGATCTACTTTCCAGTTCTACAGATTTGCCAGTTCTGGACATATTTCATTAATGCAGTCATGCATGTGATGTGATCATTTTGCTGTTGTCTTCAACTTGGTCATAATCTTCATACTTGGTACATGCTGAAGTTCATGTGTTAGTACTTATTTTATAACTGACTAATGTTCCATTTTGTGGATATACTATATCTTGCTTGTCCATCCTCAGGTGAGGAATTCTTACGGATTAAGCCATGTTGTGCTCTGTTGCTAACTTACTCATCAGCTGGTGGACAGTTGGGTTTCTAATTTTGTCCTGTTAGGAATAATGTAACCATGTATAAGATTGTGTGTTTTCATGTTTTTATTAGAGTATATACTGAGGAGTAGAATTGTTAGCCCTGTTGGTATAGTGTATTATGTGTGGACTGCTAACCAAAAGGCCAGGGGTTCAAATGGACCAGCTGCTCTGAGGAATGGAGATGGGTTGTATTCTCCCCTAAACCTGATGGAGTGGTCATTATGAATTGAGATCAGTGTGACAACTACTGGAAGAAGTTTTAGGCCAATTCTTAGTTGGTATACTATATTAACTGTATTTTATGATAACTCTTAGGTGGCATATTATGTTTCTCTGTTGGACTGCCAAACCAAAGGTTGGCAGTTCAAATCTACCAGATATTCCACAGAAAGAGGATGGACCGTCTTTTCCTGTAAAGCTTTATAGCCAAAGGATTAGTTGGAGGACTGCCTTGAGGAGAATTAAACCAAATCCAAGGCAACCAAAATATGACTTTGAGTCTGTCCCACCTGAATTTCAGAACCATCTCAGGAACAGGTTTGAGACTTTGAACACTAATGAGCGAAGGCCAGATGAGTTGTGGGAGGATATCAAGGGTATCATCCAG